GTCAAAAACATCCTGACGATAAACAGCCAAACCCCAGTGAACATCATTTGCTGCGGCCATGTTTGACCATATAGGGCTTGTTCACAGTACTTGTTGCGGGATAAGGGAAACGTCGCATTCTGATCACCCTGGACGTATTCAGTTTGTTAGAGGCCCATATCGAGCTCTACTCGACCAGACTAACCAGTGTAACAGTTACGTGATCAATCGGGTAACATGGCTCTGGTAACGAGCGTTTGTACTCGAGATGGTGGCAACGACGTAACAACACAGATCTTACGGGTTATTTCACTGTCTAATCTGTACGTGGGCTCGAGCTTGTGCGCTCTAAATTCAACACTGGATCAAAAAGATGGATGATGTTATTTCAAATGTCAACTTTGAAGTAACTAGTTTCATTCTGTAGCTCTCGGTATTAGTTAATAGTGTATGAACTGCGCTCTATTGGTTGTCCCCGCCTCATTGCAGTTTGTGTTGTACTCAGAGCATTGATGTATACGCCCGTACGCGGAGCGGGGGAGGCTCTGTGTGTGTGCCTGTGCACCAGAGCTGGGGTCGCGCCACACAGCGATCTACGCCTAGTGATATGCAAATTTGACCTACTCACTGTCCGCAGTCGACTGAGGGCCTTAACAGAATAGGATTATAATGGAGTGCTTGAGATACTGAGCTATTTATCTACCTATGAATATATGTATAGTAACCGGTGGCCCACACAACCAGGGTGTGCTTGCCCCAGAACTTGGGTTTGTCCTTCAGCTACCCTAAGTGAGATAACTGCGTGAGCCTATCAGCTCTACGATCATTGAATAATCGCTTCTCACCATTTCACCTTAACGATGTGCATTCGTCACAGTAAGACAGTGGACAAAACTTCCAAGAGGTTCAAGAGCCCCTCTACCTGATAGCATTTTCTTTAACAAGAACGACTTCCGTTCCACTATTGTAAGAACCCGGGATATATGCTGAAAAATCAACAATACTTTTCGCTGCTTTATATATTACGGAAGTTCATTAATTGCCCGCTGTTGTATACGAGGTCATCTGTCGCAAAAACAGTCTTAATCTCAGTACGTCAGGTTGCCTTTTCGTTGCAGGAATGATGAAATCTGAGTCTTACATAAACCTAAAATGATGCCTATTCGTTGATTTTCTTGACACTTATCAGCAAATAATGAGGGTGTGGCAGCTCTACTTCAGGTCGGTGTTTGATTTCAACAGCTCCGAAGCAGGAAACTGAGGCACCACTACGTGAATCGAGAAACCAAGCCCCTTCTATCATAAAATCAGTTTCCTAATACAAAATCTAGTACATATGTAAATTAAGTATCTGACACGTGCTTTTGTCGGAAAGCCATCAAAAAATGGTTAGCGAAAAATGCTGATTCACGAAAACAAGATTTTGAAGGAAGAATGATTCCGGGTTTAAAGAAAAACTCCAGGCTACGACCACTGAAACCGCTTTCAATCAAGATATTCTCGAGTCTGACCGATCTTTAGGAAAAATCAAAGTTCAGGGTGAAGACAAATAGGGCGGTCTTCGCTGTTCTCTTCATGCAACTTTATATGCGTGAAATCGAGACCGAAACAACTTTGATTATCGGAACTGCATTTTGTCAGCTAGGAAATCGGTGTGCTTTGATCCCAGGTGCGAAAAATATCAGTGGCTGTTGTTTTATCTGCAAACGTGAAATTTCTGGTTGGAAAGCTGTAATGACTACCGAGACTGAAATAACACTTCTCCTGGAAACCTGGTTTTTATACAGACGAAAGATTTACACATCTAGGATTGACAAATCGAGTCGGTGAGTGAACCATTGTTCCCGAATATTCTTAATTATGCTCTTACATTTCATATTCTGAAAAAATTATCTACAGAAGGACAGCCATTGGCTCAGTTTAAGGTCATCAATCGGAGGGTACTGTGTGTCAGCTGGTGTAACCTTTTTCCACTGAAGTCAAGTCATGTTCTGTCTTGGTTTCCACTCTATAGATCGAGACAATTGAAGTGCTTCAACCGGTGTTTTTTGGGGCACATAGGTTTGGGTAAAGCAAGCGAATGGCGATCGCCTTGGCCATGACTAGTGTCCAAACTCGGGCTACCTTCGATCGATTGAGTGGGAGTCGATAAACATGGAACACCTTCTCCGATTCGATTTTGTATCCGGTGTCTACGAAATAACCCATGATTGCGCCTGAGATGCAGCCGATCTTCCCCTAACACAACCATCACGGGTGGTGCTCCTTAACGCGTTGAAACCAACGCCTAACCGTTCAACCTACGTAACATGCGCACTTAAAGGAATAAACTAACATGGATGAGGTCAGCCTCAGCAGTTCATCTTTCACTTGCATTCGCATCACCGGTGATTGGAGAACACCACTCTCAGCTTCTCTGTGGGTCAATCGGAATTTACATCCGTTCTCAGTGGCTGTACCGGACTTTGTGCGTGAGTCCCTCTTCAAAGAAATCCTTCTCGGGGACACAGACGAAGCCATCCTTTTCCCGAGAGATTCGAACATTCATGTCAGTAAATTTTTCAGATAACCATTGTCCCGCAGTGTTTGACGGATGAAGTGTGGTTCTTCTGTGGCGCACGTTACGAAGGTTGAACGGTTAGGCGTTGGTTTCAACGCGTGAAGGAGCACCACCCGCGATGGTTGTGTTAGGGGAAGATCGGCTGCATCTCAGGCGCAATCATAGGTTATTTCGTGGACACCGGATACAAAATCGAATCGGAGAAAGTGTTCGATGTTGTTTATCGACTCCCACTCAATCGATCGAAGGTAGCCCGAGTTTGGACACTAGTCGCGGCCGATGTGATCCTCATTCGCTTTCTTTGCCCAAACCCGTGTACCTAGTATAAAACCCATGACGTGTTCCTTGACCCCAGCGGGGAAAGGTCACATCAACTGACACAATAGACGTTCCTCCACACACACACACACACAAAATAACTGTAGCCTCCGACTCCGATGGCCTTCAAATGAGCCAACGGTTCTCATTCTGGAAGCATTTGTCCATGGTATGATATTTAGAAGCATAACTAGGAATATCTGAAAACAACTGTTCGCTCATAGACTCGTTTTCCCCATGCTCTCATTGGAATATTTAAACTTTATATCTGGAATTCATTTACCATACAACGAATACACCGATCAAATTGCTATCTCGAACTAGAGGTAGCCTAGTAACTTGAATTAAACGCTCACGCTATAATTCACACAAAATTACAATTGCATACAACAAAATTAATGTTGCGCCATTCGGTTAGATGTAAACCTAGTCTTTTCAGAAAATACGGTTCAATCATTACCTCACGTTCGACAGCTGGTTTCAAATAACTTATTTACGCTTTCACCTCGGGTATGGGCCACGTATTAACACTTCCCTCCTAATTGCCGAGGGTGACTTCAGTTACATCAATATCAGTTTTCTGCCTAATGTTGGTCTGGTAGAAATCAAGCATTTTTCCACCAGGAACAATAATGCTCAGCCCAATCCATTGTCTCAATGACTGAGATATCTCATATTTACTGAAAGATACCACAGGAAAATACTGACCACTGTATGCTCAAGGAACATACGCCAAGAGCAATCACGCCATTCGTACTCAGTCTGCTCATCGCAATAATCGAAAGCAGTAGAATCCTGAGGAACTGGTAGCCTCAGGGGGAAAGAATTATCGAAACTGAACTTGGTTTATTCTCCGATCGGAACATTTCAACTCATTTCGATCAACTAACTAGTTAACTAAATGTCGCCGATGGTATCTGCTGTCCCATCGAAGACCATTAGACTAGAAATACTGTCCCTCAAATTCAAGCGGATGATAAAAAGCGACAGAACCATGTGCGATTGGTTTCGTCTTGCAGAAAATCTGATCCCAATTTATTGGCATGGTAGACCGATTAGCGGGAAACTAGGTTGTTAACGTCCTCCTTGACTGACTTGGTCTCATAATAGCGCTTTCCTTGAAAAATGTCCCAGTCGTCTTCATTTTCGACAACGCCGCCTTTCCATAGACAGCCTAGTGTGGTGCTTGAACATTTGATTTCGTGCCTATCACCGCAAGGCGATCTGTTCAAAGCAACGGAAGCTTTCAATTGATAAACAAAAACTTCCTAATGGATCATCAAAATGATACATGGTAATTTTCCGGAGGAACTTAAATGAAGATAAATAACAACTGCTTGTAACAAGATATCCCTGGGTAGATCTCCTTAGTTATTATCTTTCATACCGTCAAATCGTTACTAGACCGTGAGCTGTATTAATAAACACTCGTCAACCAAAATTTTGACGTGATCATCACAGAATCATCCCACGTTTGGGGCTACTTCATGATCCGTAGTTGTATTTAATCGATACCTCCGGGCGATGCACTTGAGAACGCCTCCACTCAGAGCACATTGTGCAGCACGTTTTTCATCCTTATTGTGCGGTTTTATATGTACGTTTGGGTCGAATCGACCCCTTCGGCCGAAATTTCGTTGTTCAACGGGCTTGTTTTATTCGATGGTTAAAAACACTGCATGTAGGCTTGGACGTACATCTGCTGCAAACAATCAAGGGAAATACTCACTCTGACAATTTACTTGTGTGCAGAAAACAGAGCCTGAAATAGCGCACGGACAAAACTACTCTCGATGAAGCTGAAATCGAAATCCTGGATCGGCTCATATTTCACCCAATGCACGATATTTTTGAACGCCAACATCAACGAAGTGCTAGACTCCTCCCCCCCTACACATATTTTATCTTAGAAGAAGGGTAGTTCGTGATATCGAAAAAAGTGACCTCAATCAAAATCGGGTTGGCGAAAAATTCTTTATCAGATCAAAAACAAACATAACAAGATGGATAACTGCACAAGTTGTGCTGTTTTTCTTTCTGTGTGTGTGTTCTAGGCTACACACGAGGCACAGAAAAAACAATCAATGAAATTGTGTGAATATGATACACTGTACATCTTGATCAGCACAACAGTGCGCACGAGCTAGTCAACAGGCCGTGCTAATACTTTTGCCTTCTTCTTGTTCTTTTTACCTTTGGTTTCGCAGTACTTTTCAATATTATTTAATTTCTTCTTTTTCTTCTTTTGGTTTTCGGGGTTTGATGAGTTAGCCGCTGTATTTGACAGAAAACCGTTACAATGTTCCCATGAATCCACTCGAGTTGATTCACGCAAAAAATGATTCCAATCAGCTGAACCACGGGGATTGGTGTGCGGTAAGGCATGTGATGAAGTCAAGTTATGCGACTGTGAGCTTTCGGTTTTTAGTTTTTTGTTCTTCTTGTGCATCTTCTTCTCCTTCTTCTTTATCATCTCCGCTTGACCCGATTTTTCAGAAGTTTCATACGCAGTGACAGAAGTGTTTCCGACCAGTGGCGAGCTTGACTGCTGCTTGGAATCGACCAGAAGAAGCTTCAGACCAATAAGGGAGTTGCGTTTCTGCTTGGGGACTACATCTGCACCAGTTGTCTGTTTAGGTTTCTTGTGAACAGATTTCTTTTTGGACTTCATGTCCTTTGATTTCCGTTGTTCACTGTCCAGTTTGCGAGAACCTGGATCACCCAACTTTTTGCCACTGGGTGGCTTAGACAATTCCCAGGATTTGTTCACTTTCGCACTCGTACTGGGATGAGCTGTGTCCTCCACCGGAAAACGGTTTCGCTTCTTAATAAACCTATGTGGAACGAAAACAAGGACGATTTCATGTAATACTCGAGGGGACACATTTTGGGATACGAACGCTATATTATATATATATATATATATATATATAATAAACATTTTACAACTCAGTGTACGCCTCCATTCTCTCTTGAAATATATATATATATAACACCACCTTGAGAACAATCATGGTGCCAACGCCAAGACAACAACAATAACAACGGGAGGGGGATGGGATACAGATTATAGGGAAAAAAGGCAATTGTTAGAATGGAAGATTACGAATAAAAGGAATAACAATTTTTTTGTGTTTCACCGTACACTTTTTGATATTTTTTGTGTTGTTTGTTGTTTCTACGCAGCACGGGCTCTCAACAGGCAGACCGTACAGCATTCGCGCCACTGACTTCTATTCTGGGTCACATCTCTCAGCGTCTCTAACCAACGACAATCCTCACCCTTTCGGTCCCAACCTGGAAGGTGGGCTGCACCAACCGAAGCC